ATTTTGCAAATTTTATGCGTTTTTTTTTTTAAAAAAGTTATCAAGCTCTTAAAAAATCACCCGATATTTCTGTCAATATTTTGTAAGATGACCCTAAGCTTTTACTATACTCCTGCATTAAAAATTTTTCCATTCGGTCCACTAGCGGCCGAGAAAAATTCAATTTAGTAGCCAAATCGCTGGTCAGGTACCAGACCCCCGAAATACTAGGTAATAGGGTGCCGGGAACATTTCTGTCAATATTTTATAAGATGCCCCTGAGCCTGTACTATAATTCTGCATTTAAAATTTTTCATTCGTTCCACCAGCAGCCGAGAAAAATTCAATTTAGTAGACAAATCGTTGGTTCAGTACCAGACCCCGGAAATACTAGGTAATGGGGTGCCGGAAATATTTCTGTCAATATTTTGCAACATGCCCCTGAGCTTATACTACAATCCTGCATTTAAAATTTTGCCGTCCGTCCACCAGCGGCCGAGAAAAATTCAATTTTGTAGGGAAATCGCTAGCTGGGTACCAGGCACCCAGAATTACTAGGCAGCTGCCAACGGAAATAATTTTTTGAATTTTGTACATCCTGCCCCTAAACTTATGCAAAATTTTGCCACCAAAATTTTTGCCATCCGGCAAACAGCGACCGAGAAAATGTTAAATTTGTGGGGCAAATCGGCTGCTGAGGTACCAGGCCACCAGAAGCAGGCAGTAGGGGTCACACATTTCTTTAAAAGCCTATAACTTCTAAACTAATGGGCCGATTTCGATGAACGAGGTGTCGTTGGAAAGCTCAGAGCTTGGCGCAGCTAATTGAGCTATGCTTTTTAAAAATTTGTTAATACCTTAAGCATCAAATTAAAAAGAAAAATAAAACCGCTGTTTTTTTGAGAAAAAAGTGCTATTAAGCGCTTAAGGGGCGCGCAATTTGCCAGATTATACTGCTGGTGTATGTAGCTATTGACTCATTTGCTCATTTATTGCAAATTTTGCTTCATACTTTGTAAATTATCAAAGATATAGCCAAGTATGTATGTGCAGTTTCTGGTCTTAGTTTTTGGTTTTTATTGGTAATTTTTCAACAAAATATTTTACAAATAATGTGTGCATGTCGAAAATATTGTTATATTGGGTAAGTATTGCAGCAAGGTATATCTGTTTGTCAGTTTTGCATAGTTAGCAGTTATACTTGCGCGCAAAGCAGCAAATAATAACCAAAAAATAATAAATAAAAAAGAAAATCATAATTTTTTCTCAAAATAAGTATTCATATTTTATTGGTACCATAGTTTGTTGTTATTTGTATTGCATTACTATTAGTTATTATTTTAGTTAATGTCTTTTCATTAGGATTACAATAAAACTCATCTTTTTTGTCTGCTTAATTATTATAATTTTTTTCGCCACGCAGCCTAAATTTGGTAATTCAACGAAATTGTTAGCTGTGTATGTATGTGTGTACTTGTGTATATATGTGTGTTGGGCTTATCATTGTTGTATAATACAAAGTATTGTGGCTCTTGCATTAAGTAAAGTTAGTGGTTAATAATTAGTTTAATTTAGTTTAGTTATAAGACTAAGCAAACATTTTGTGTTGCTTTTTGTTGTTGTTTGCTTTATGTTATTATTTTAATTATATATGTTTATAGTAAATGGTTAAAGTGTTGGCTGAAGTCTAATGAATAATAATAGTTATAATTACAATCATTGTTTTAGGTATAAATTATATATATGTATGTATATAAATATTAATAAACGCTACAATACGACATACCTACTATATTCATAGGAGTTATAATTAATTATACATATGATATAATATTTATAATAAAATTATTTAGTTTAATTGTAATTGGTAGATTGTAAATGGAAACCCTTGCGTAGTGGCGCTTTGCTGTTTTTTTGTTGTTGTTGTAGTTCACTACAATTTTGGCAGCTGAAAAAATTTAAGATTTCGATTTGGAGTTTGGAAATTCATTGGCTTTAATTGCTGGGGGAAGCATAACAATTGTTTACATGTTTTGCATATACATATATATACAATATATATTTAGAAATGTTGATGAGCAGAAGGTGCTAAGGGCGATTAGCAAGCGCAAAGCAAATTTTAAAAAACAAAGTATGATCGCGTAACAAAAATGATGCTACAAACAAAATTATAAATAAAAAATATTATAAATAAAAAATATTATATAAAAAAATGTAATAAAGAAAATAATTAATACAGGAAAAAATTGTAAAAAAAAAATTTAATAATTAAGCGGGAATTCTGGTCTAGAAATAGCTAAGGTTAGGTTATGTTGGTCTGATAGGCTAATGAGCCACGCATAACCAGTTTTGGTTTTTTGCGATGACAGGTGGAGCTTAGTCACGTGTTTCATACGGAGTACTCATCGTTTAAGATGCCTGGGCCTGATGCGAATTTCAGAAGACGCTGTGGCCTCACTATCTATACCTCTAGTCTAGAAATAAAAAAAGTTATTTTTTTATATTTTAACTATTCAGGAATAGAAAATTATTTTCTGAGATAACGGTCTCTTGCTGACCCTGAATCCAAACTGGTTCAGTCGGAACTAAAACTTTAAACGAGTTTTTCTCCAAATAGTCAGTTTTTTCAAAACGATCAAAGAAATCAGGGGCTATCCGAGCAATTTACTTGAAATTTTTAGTAAGTATTTTCTATAGACTTGTCTATGTCTGGAATCAAAATGAACCATATCACCACATACAATTTTTATTACTTTTAAAAAATTCAAAACAGTCAGTGTTTTCGAAATGATCCCACGATTTCTCAGGTTCTACTAGACCGATTTATATTTATGAAATTTTTAGAGCTATGTTTTTGAGCTACTTGTCTATGTTTGAAACTAACCATATGCTCAAATTTCAAGCTTTATTTTTTTCAAAATTCGTAGTAAAAAGATTGGGTTACAAAAATTGCTTTTGTTTTTCGTATAGGTGTCATTTCGCGAAAAATTTTTTTAAACTTTACCCTTTACCAACAATTCTAGATTAATATCCTTTTTTATGCTTTCCGATTGCTAAAAGTATTGAAATCGTGAGTATGACCAAATGACAAGTTTTTGGGGCCATATCTTCATTGACTGCCAATCCTAATTTTTGAAAATTTGAACTTTAGAATTTTTAATTTTTGCCTGTATTCCTGCGATGTTTATAAATAACTAACAAAAAGGATAGTAAAAATATTAATTGCTTTTTTTCTATGACACTTAAAAAAAAATAGCTGAAATTCATGTCTCCAGACTAGAATAACCGCTCAAAGTATTTTTCTTTTTTAATTTTTTTCTAAATCGCGCTTTTTTTTACTCTAGACTGCTTGAATATCGCTACAAATATGCAAATAATATAGGTATATATTTTACAAATTTTCTGCAAAATTTTTTTGTTTACAATTTTTCACAAAAATTTCTTAGCAGCATTTTTTAATGATTTTTTTAATATTGGCTTTACCGAAATTTCCTGTCAATATTGTTTACATTGAAATCTGTACCATTAATGTTGCTAATCGCTTTTAGTATTTTTTTTTTTTTTGTGCTGAACTTCTCTCATATTGTATTTTGCGCCCATTTTCTTTCATATCAATCACATATACAACTGACTACGTCTTCCCACAGCTTGTGCAACAAATTTCAATTCCATACTTTAACTTAACTTAGGCATACAAGTGTGAAGGCAATTAACACAAATCGGAATTTAACCGTAAACAGGCTTAATTGTGTAGTTGTATGTGTGTGTATGTGTGTCATCAGTGATTCGTCACACGACGCTAAGCGCACGCCTTTACGCGCGCACAACTATAAATTCTAAACATATACCGTTATTTGTGTGCGCATACCATATACTCGAAACATGTATGCGTGTGTTAAAGTATAAATTTAACTAAGTAGCATTAAACTTGAGGTTAAACGCTTAACAAAACTTACAACTTACAAATACATATACAAACAGCGGCAAACTTAACAAACAAATTACAAACTCACTAAGCCATTGCGTACAGTTACATTTCTATCGAACAACAAGCGCACTTTTATGTACGCGTATGCGTGTCTCTGTGTGTGTGTGTGCAATTAAATAAGGCAGAATATGACAGTTAGTCGTTTTTTTAGTTTTACAAAAAATTATAAAATAAAAAGTGAAAAAAGTTTAAACACAACTTTTGCTTTTCTGCTTGCAAGCCAGTAAATATGTATGTATGTGTGTATTAAGCAAATCACCTTTTGCTAACTTTTTTTGCTAACGCTTTTAGTTTTTGCACAGCGCGCATGTGCGCCTTAAAGTATGCTTTTCACTTATATTTTAGGCCGATTTTGTATTATTTTTGTTTTTATTTCAATATTTTTAGTTTGTTGTTTATTAAATATTAGTTGTTGGTGTCTCATTACAATTACAGCGCTTTAGTTGAAGTGAAATTAATTAATGCCTAGAACTACACATACAACGCACTGCAATGTTTCACTTTTTCGCTTATAAATTCTAAGAACATAATACTAAAAATTTATTTAGCTTACATAACTCATTACGTTTACGTTTAGTATTATTATTATTATTATTAGTATGCTTATTATTATTATTAGTAAAGTTCCAAAATGGAGTTGACACATTCAGACACTTGCTTATCGCTTTCGTTTGCTCGCTTTCATTTCACGCTCCTCGCGTTTAGTTTCACTTTTTAGTTTGGCTGCCTTTATTTATTCATTTTTTTATCAATTTTATTCTGCTGATACATTTTTCTCGCCATTTTTGCTGATTTCTTCTTGATTTATGTGCTAGATGCTCCGCCAGTGCTGCTAGTGCCACTATTACTACACTAGGAGTTATTCTCACAGTCATCGAGTTTGTGCTTCATACGGAAATTGCTTAAGAGATCGGCGCAATTGTTCACCATCATTAGGTAGTCGCCGTTGTCTAGATTCGCCTGTTCAGTGGTTGTGTAGGCGTGACTATGTTGTGAATTGTTTTTGTCGTTTCTGGAAGACAAAAGGAATGAATATTATTATAGAATATATATTATTATACATACATATATACATAAATTACAGAATGAGAAATAAGAAGAAACCGATATAATACAGTTAGCACGGAAAACGGTATAATTGAATATAAAT